CTCCTCCTGTGTCTCCCGGCCGGTTGGTCAAGACCATTCACTGAACAGTCACAGTCGCAGCCACCCTGGCTTTGCTATCAGGCTGGGGGATGGGCCAGTCTGGGCGCCCATGGTCACCCATCTCATAGGATGTCTGCTCACCTGCACCATCACTGAGTGTGAGAGGGTGAGACCCCTCCAGGCCCCTTCCTGGCACACACAGCACTGTGGGTGCTGCCCATGCCGCCTGAGGGCCCTGGCGCCGGTGGGGCCTGGTCAGGATGGGGGCAGTGGGAGCCTTTGGGGAAGCTGTCTCCCTGGTGGCTGCCACTGGCCTGTCAGCTGCCACTACTTCCTGGCAGGAGACAACGCCTCTGTCAGCAGGGTGGGCTGCTTCAAGCTGGTGAGACTTGGTTCCCACTTCCTGTCCCCAACTGAGAACAGAGAGGCTGCCCATGGGGTGGGGGACACACAGGGACAAAAGCTGAGATTCATCTTCTTCTCCTCCCCCTCTCCTCCCCCTCCCCTCCCCCCCCCCCTTCTCCTTCCCTTTCTTTTTTTCTTCTTTTAGTTTTCAATCAAGCTTTTAATGAAAAGATCATAAAATAACTTTTTCTCCTGTGATAGAAAAGTAATTCACTTACTTTCTTCTTAAAAACAAATCCATGAGAAGCCCCTACTTCCATCACTGGCTGAAACCCTGTCCAGCAGTGACTGAGCAGGAAGGATGGGGCACTGCAGGGGGACCCAGGGGGACCCTTTGGCTTAGTTCAGGGGTGAAGAGGGCAGTGAATTAAGTTTGAATCTGGCCTTTTCCATCAGCCAGGTGCAAACCATGCCATGCACCGAGGCTGGAACAGGCCGGCCAGAGCCCCGTTAGCCTAGGGCCTAGGCACTCCCTGAAGACGTGAGGAACAGTTTCATGAGGGGCTCATGGATCCCTGATTGGAATTTAGAGAACCCCACATTGGGAACCAGAGGTCAGATTCAACATTCTCTCCCTGAGTTGCCAATCAGTAAAATAAGAAGGCTGCATCCTCTCTAGAACTGGGGTCCCTTGACAGAGAAAAAATATATATATTACAAATCTATTGAGGTTGCAGGAATTGAGGGGGGGCCAAGGGAGGGTGAGGGCGGAGGAGGGAGACAAAAGGTGAGGGGCTTCCTGCTGCCATCAAATGGCGGAGCATGGTCCTCTTGCCCGCCTGGCGGGTCGGCCCTGCTTGGGACAGTGGTGAGGCTAGGTCCCAGAACTCCGCAGCCGCCAGAGGAGAAACCTCTGGGCAACACACTCTACCCGCCAGACCCACCACAGACCACCAGGTAGCCTTGCTCTTCCAGTCCCTGTTCTCTGCATAAGGATCACCAGAGAAACCTGGGCACTGCCCAGGTATGCCCAGGGACAGTCAGCTACCTACACTCTCCAGGCCCACAGGGGGAAATTCCGGCTTCAGCCGGAGGGCCTGGCTCGAGTGTGTCCTGTGGATGTGGCTTTTCTTTTTGTCGGGTTAAGGAGGCACAGTAGTCCATCTCACGGCTGTCATTAAACTCAGCATAATGAGATGGCTAAATCAATAGCCTCCCAATCTTTACTGACTGCTTTAAGAAGGGGCCATTGCAATGCCGATATTTTTGTGCCCCAATCGACATTCATTTAATCTGACTTCCCTCTTGCGTCTGTGAATTACTATGCTCTACAGCCAGCCCAGAGAAAAACTGGGAGACACGTCCTGCACCTCTCCTTTCCGTAGCTCACTCCCCTCCCAGATCCCTGCCCTGGGACACAGCTTTCAGCAGGGGCCCTGCTTCTCCTTGGGGACCCTAAGCCCCAAATGTGACCACTTTCTTGCCAAGCACCTCCTTTGGCCCAGGAACAGGCTGGGTATCTTTCCATACATGCCTCTATTTAGTCTTCACAGCAAAATAGGTGTCATCCTCATTCTGCAGATGATGAAACCAAGACAAATTCAATGACTACAAGGCTCCTGAGGACACCAGCTGCGGAGCGGGAATTTGCCCAGGCCCTCCAGCCCCGACCGGCACGCTTCCCACCCAACTGTACTGCTGATAGCACAGTCGTGGTCAGGACAAGCCTAGACAACGCCTGTGAAAGCACTGTGAAGCCGTGAAGCTCAAAACAAAAGGAGAGATAGCTGCACGTGCCGGCCTCTGCCGTCTCCTGCCTGTGAGCAATGAGCCTAGAAAACACTCACCTGCATTTGGTGCAAACCATTCGTCAGCTCCAGTGCAGGGCAAGGGCCGGCATGCCGGGTGAGCAGCAAGAATGCACTTTCCCCCACAGTAAGTCTATCAGTCACCGGGCTCATCACTTCTCCTGGGGTCTCTCAAACCTGCTCTTTCCTCTGTCCCTCCGGTGTTGCCCGAGGGCTGCGTCATCTCTCCCCTAAATCACCTGCACAGCCTCTCTGAGGTCCCTGCACCCACGCTGTCCCCTCAGCCATCCTCCGCTCTGCAGCCAGAGCGATGGTTCTCAAGGCCGGTCTGAGCCAGCACATGGGCTTCCAGCCTCTCAGCAGTTCCCTGTGCTCTTGGCTTAAAGCTCACCCCTTCACCGGTGTGCCCGCCCCAATGACATCGACAGGACACCCCTCCCTGCCACCTCAGCTCCTCCCACTTCAGCTCTCAGCTCCACATCGGAGATGGGGTCAGCAACTCTCCACCCAGAGAACATCAGCATTGGAGCCTGAGGTGCGATCCCATTGACTCTGTGGCCCCCCTGTGAGCCACAGGGACCGGTCTGGCTGTTCACCACTATATTCAGGCTGCTTGGCACAAGTTAGTGTTCGAGTCTTTGTGTGACAATGTCTTGTCTGTGTGAGCCCTGGACGAGCTGTTTTGAGGAAGTTCTCATACATACAAGCCGGCTCCTCTCTGGCTCACAAACCATCCTTTCTCATTTGCCCTTCGCTGGACACGGATGGGAGGCAGCTATCCCACCTCTTCACACAAGAATGGGGGAGCAAGAGGTCCTCCAAGGTCATCTCAGCCACCCATGCCATGGGCTGAAGAGCCAGAGCCCATCCCAGAAGGCCCTTGCCTAGTGTTAGAAGTCTCCAGTGGGGAAGATGCCCAGCCCTGTCCTCCCGCTGACATCCCCTCTCCTGCCTGGCAGGGGGCCCGCCTTTCACTGCTTAATCTGACTGGAGCTCAGTGCTCACAGAACAGTCCGTGTGTCCCAGTGCCCTGGGTGCCAATGGACTTCACTCTGTCCCTCAGAGAAGACAGCACAGGGACACGGGGCATCCCAGTAGGTGTGTCCACAGGCTGAGGGGCAGGAGTGAGAGCAAGAATGGGCAGAGGAAGTGGCTCCCACCCACTTTCTATGCCTCAGTTGGTCTCAGAGGATGGAGGGTCACCCTTCCCTGAGCCATGACCATCTCCTGACCCCACAGCCACAAGATCTCCTTGCACCTTTGACAGAGGGTCACCTCAGACGCCTCAGTCAATCCTCAGCAAATCCCTGCAGGTGCTGGGACACAGCAGCTGCAGGAAGGCTCCCAAGGTTGATGCTCTGGGACAATCCCATGCCAACCTGGCCTCTCCCCGAGGAGGCGGGAGCCAGACCTCCACACACGAGGGCTGAGAGATGCGGCTCCCGCTCCCATCAAACCCACGCTGCACATTCGCCTTCATTCCTGCCCCGGCCCAGCCTGGTACCTGAGCTGCAGCAATGGCCCAGGGCAGAGTGAGTCTGAGCTTCTCACCCCAACTTGTCACTGTGACTACAGCAGCCAAGGAGGCTGGGAGGCTTCCCTGCAGTGAGGTGGCACAGCCAGCGGTTTTCAGTGCCTCCCTCTTCCCCGCTGACCATCTCGTACTGACTGGTGCTTCTGTGCCCAGTGGAGCCAGCTCGGAGCCACCTAAGGGAGTGCAGCCCAGGCAAAGCCACCCGCAAGGCCCCCTCACTCCTGGCTCCAATGAGCCCCAGGGTCATCAGGGGGGTTGGGGAGAAGCTGCACCTAAAGCTGCGTCCCTGCCCCACAGGAGGCCAAGGGTGGCTTGTTGCTGCCCCACAGGAGGCCAAGAGTGGCTTGTCGCTGCCCCTCTCCCAGCACACTAATGGCCTGGCCCACAGGCTGGTGGACTGGATGGGACAAACACGTAGGTGGGGTCAGCCTCTCATGCAGAGGGCCCCCACCAAACCCGCCTCAGGTCACCAGGCAAAGGAGGTGTTAGGATTCCTCAAGCACCCACAGAAGGACCCCCCACTCCCCTAAGCCAGCAGATCTGTAACCTGGGTTTGAGGGGAGATGAGTTCCTAGCTGCAGGGTGTGTCTTGGACAGAGAGTAGGGCTGGTGCCACAGTCATGGTTGACCGAATGAACATACCACAGAGACAGCCTGATTGTGCTTTTGACATATTATCAGGTTTTATTTAAAAACATGCTAAAAACATGGTGTTCAATAAAGCCAGGACTAGGATGAAGGAAACGCAGATACCGCATCACAAGCAGAAAAGTGCATTTGAAACCAACAGGCGTGCTCTCCCGTGCTGGGCAGGGTGTGGGCACGGGCCCAAGGCCTGGCCCTCCGAGTGCCCGGTGAGGGCAGGAAGGCCAGGCCCCACCTGGACTACTGCTTCACTGCAGGGAGAGGAGGGAAATGGGAGACGGGGAAATGAGCCCCGGACGCTGAAAGGCTGAAGGACCAAGAGCGGACCCCACGCACCTGGCCCAGCTCCCATCCTACACCAGGTCCCTGCTAGTTAGCACCTCCACCAGTGGTGGGCAGGGGGCCCGAGAGCCGGACAGTCGTTTCCATCCATTTGGCTGCTCTTTGGCCACTAAAACAAGGAGGGATGGCCACCTGGTTCCAAGTCAGACCAGAACATTTGCATGAGCACCTGGGGTGAGCTCAGCAACCTTCCTGAGCGAGCCCAGGATGCAGGCCCAGGCCCGCAGGAGTGCAGGGGAGACTGTGCCCACATCTGCTGCAGCCCCCGGAGCAGGGCTCAGGCCCTGCTCACTCACCTCCCGAGGTGGCTGCAAAGGAAGGCCAGGGAAGGCATTCCCCTGATGCCGTCTGCAGGACCCTGACCTTCTGAGCCTTCTGTAAACTGCCTGCATCAGACCTGACTAAATGAAGTCCGACTCTGGTGGGGAAGCCACAGCTGCGGCCTCCAACATAGTGTGGGCCAAACACGGGCTTGGAAGAGCACTCCAGCCCGTGCACAGCACCTTTTACCCAGTGTCGACTCAGCCAATGACGGAACCACCAAGCACAGGATGAGACCAGAAGGGAGTTTGGGAACTGTGACAAGGCTCTGAGGACAAATGATAGGGTGGGGCGCAAAGGAGGAAGGGGGTCTGTGGCCAGGGCTCCAGGCCAGAGGATGGCCCTGAAGCTCCAGAAACAAAACACTGCCAGGGAGGCCACACCTCCCAAGGTGCTAGGCTTTTGCTGTTGATTTTAACAAAAATTAAAAATTGCATTGATAGGCATAAACAACCCCCCACCCCCAGCATAAACTCAGTATGCACCACGTCCCACTGCACGACTTGAATGCTGTTTGCTGAGTGTCTCCACAATGGCCTGGTGGCAGGCTGCTAGGAGCTCTGCAGACTGGGGTTCCCGGAGGCAGCCAGAGGACCCAGAGGCAGTTTTTCTCAAACGTGTGCTTACTCCTCCTCCACCCCAGGCCCCACCTTCCCAGCTCTCCCATCTGCACCAGCTCTCAGGAGGTGGTTCTACTGCCCAACTCACTCCCCACCCTCCAAAGACATGAGTCCTGAGCCCACCCAAAGTTCTGTCCTCCTGGTCCTGACTGCACTGCACTGAAGATCAGGGGAGGGGTTGCTGGCTGGGCAGCTGAGTCTCAGCTCTTGGAACAGACAGATGGAGGCCGGAGAGATATGGGCCTGGTGGGAAACTAGGGCTGGAGTCACGTGGTGTAGAAAAAGGCAGCCTCCCTGAGGCCCCACCTGGGGAAGCACCCAGGCCCCACCTAGTTAGTGGGGAACCTTTTCAAGCTCCATCCCACAGATTCTTGACTTTCTTCTTTAACTGCAAAATGCTCACTTAGACCAGCATAAATGCTGGTGGGCGCTGTCACAGCCAAATGCCCCGCCCACCTCTCATCTCCCAGGCCCTGACTCAGGCGGCTTCCTCCTGGGGCTACTTAACAGGATTCAGTCTGACATCTCTCAGTTTTCTGTACTTTTCCTTGCGGTCACTGGGGACATGACTGCCACCCACCCCACCATCCATGAGACCAGGGGAAGATGAGTCCTGGGACCTGGACGGACACTTCCCCATTCCTCCCAGCAGGAACCAGCAGCCCAGTGCACCAGCTGGAATGGTCACGGGCACCACTTCCACCTGCCCTCCTGACTCCAGGGTCCTCTGCCACTGTCTGAGCAGCAAAACCTCAGGACTGCCTCCCTCCCAGAAGCAGTGTGAGAAAGTGAGCAGCAGCTGAACGAGAGGTATGTGTCCGGGAGTTTCTACAGGAATGTCTGTGAAATCACTGGGGTTGGCAGATGTCGCAGGAAGGCCCGCGGGGGTCTGGGGGAGGAGGGCCTCCCGTGCTGGCAGAGGGCAGAGGAAGGAGGAAGGGAAGGAAAAGCAACCGCTCATCCATGAAGTGGAAGGACCCACAACGGCTCCAGCTGTGTTCCTGGGAAAGCACCCGCAGCCCCCCAGGGACCCCGCTGCTCTGGCCTCCTGCACCAGCACGCGCAGACACGTGGCTCCTGAGCCGGACGCTCCTCGCACGGCTGCACATGCCTCTGTTTCACCTCCTCTTCCAGGCTCCGGTGCCACAGGCCACGGGGCAGACAGAGCATCTGAACGCAGGCTGGCCCACCTCACCCAGTGCCTCTTGACTGCTGCACAGTGGTTTGTCCTGACTGAAACCCGACGACGTCCTCTCTCCCACCCGTCTCCCACCCTCAGAAAAAAATCAAACTGTTACAGAAATCAACACAGTAAAAAGTTATAAATCAGAAAACTAACCCTAAACTTATCTGAGATAATATTCCTGAATAATCATAATCAGAGTAAAATAAAATAAAAAAAGTTACACTGTAAGGTATAAAAAGCCTGGGCAAGGTGCTCCTCGGGTGCCTGGCCGGAGGCTGCTGCTCCCGCTCCCTGAAGGGAGGCCTCTGCTGGGCAGTCTCTCCGCCAGGTGGGAGCACTCACGCCCCCCACGCGCACAGTGTGGTGTGAGGAAGGGCGGGGTAGCCACCATCGGTGCAGCCTCCTCAAATGCGGCCCCCGGCCCACCCTGTCTTCTTTGGCAAATGCACAGATGCAGGAATCCAGCACCCCCAGCACCCCAAGGTCTTTGTGCCTTCTCCCCATGGCTCTCCACCCCAAGAAGGCTGAGGCGGTGTGTGGAGGTTGCCGGGGGACGTAGGTGCAGGGGGCAGCAGTCTGGAGTGCGGGCAGGCAACACAAAGCTGAAATCTCCTTCCCTGGCACAGTGTCCGCGTGGGGGCTGGGCTCCCGCTGGCGCTCAGGCGTCGTACTTCTTACCGGTCCGGTGGATGTGCTGGAAGAGGGTCATGGAGAAGGCCATGCCCAGAATCTGAAAGACACAGGGAACGGGCTCAGACAAAAGCCCCACGGCTGGGGCCACCGACAGCAAAAGGGACAACCGCTTGTGGGTGTGAAAAACCTGGTGGGATGAGGATAGTGGTGAGCAGAGGAGGGCACCCAGCGACCAGCCCAGGGCCACACCGTGAGCCCAGCCCTCAGAGTTGTCTGTACAGAATGGCGCTGCGCCTCTCCATCTCAGTGCTGTGTGAGGCCGAGCGCACAGAGGGCTGACCCTGACCGGCAGCGAACAAGGCGGTGCGGAGCGGGAGGGAACGCACCCTGTGCTCAGTCGTCCTATTCTGGAATACACAGCGTGATTCTCGGGCTGCAGCAGACACTCTTAACAGTGATGCTTAGGACATTAGTTCTTGTTTGTTATTCCCTCAACTCCTGAATCCTGGAAGGGCGTGGTGACAGCAGGGAGCCAGCCTGTGGCTCAAGTCACCACAGATAGTCTGCATTGGGCACAGGCCACAAAGCAGGTGACACTGTGCCTCTCCTGGCTCCCACACCGAAGGTGCAGGCATACGTGGAGGAGACCATGGTGGACGAGCCCAACCACAAGGTTCTGGTCCAGGTCCAGGTCCAGGCCTGACCCTAGGCGGACCTGATATGAGCCCCACTCTCAGTACTAAATGGTGAGTGCAGCTCACATGAGAGCTCATCTGCTGTCTGCGAGCACTTAGATAAATCAGACATGATCTGACCCCTTGGCCCAAGAGTCTAGGATAAGGAAGATGCCTGGTGCAGGATGTTGACAGTCTTCCCATGGACCGACCAGGGAAGTTCAAGTACTCCAAGAGGAATCAGGCATGGAGACTCCTGCTCACCAGGGACAGGAGCCATGTGTAGTGGGCACAGGAGGGAGCCCAGGAAATGCTCGTCCTTAAGAGAACAGAGTCACTACGTGCTTGCTAAGAACAGCTAAGATGACCTGGCACTTCTTCTGTGCTTGGTGCAGCTCCTTGCCCGATGTGAGGCATGTTAAACTCACTCCTGGTTGAGAAGTGGCACAATGATCAGGCTCGTTATATTGATATGGAAATTCAGGCACACAAGCTAATCAGTGTGCCCAGGTCACACATGTCTAACAGACGGTGAGGCCAGGACTGACACCTGTGGGCTCTGACCCCCGAACTCATGCTCACAGGTGTTACTAAGGACTCAGGTCTCATTCAGTTCAGCCACAAGGTAAATGTCCCTGTGAAGTGAGGACAGGTGTGTTCACCAGCAAACCCACACGTGGGCTGCACGCAATGCCAGCATCGGGCCCAAGGCCTAGGAAATGGGAGGAAGCAGTGTCTCTGGGGCCTGTAGGGTCGGGCAGGCACCAAGAGGCTGCAAAGCAGGACAGCGCATGGAGGGGGCCGCCTGGGTCAGTGACTTAACTTCGGGGGCTTGCTTTTCTCCAGCTGGGATGCAGCGAGGCTGATGGCC